CAGCAGTATCCACTTAACCATTTGATAGTACTTAACGAAATAAAATTATCTGCAAATTATTTTTCGGTATTTCCTACACCCCAACCAAAAGGCAGACATAACTAAATATATAGATTTTTGAATATTTATTCTTATAGGTGAGGCATAACTTGTACAATTATTTCGAATGTATGTAGATTAGAGTGGTCAAAAAAGGTAATGTTGGAATTTCAATGCCATCCCCTAGGATTTTTCTGAACCGAAAACAATATATCCCTATTTTTTATTTTGAAACAAAAAAATATTTAGAGTTCGCTCAAAGTGGTTAAAGTTGTCTATGTATTTTGTATGGGGAAAAAACCACTTTTCATGGAAAAAGCATAGAATTCTTTAAAATCAATATTTTTTGATAGGAAAACTCTGGTTCTCTTCGGGAGACTTCCAGTAATAATACCATATATTTAATAATAATTATTATTTAATGATTTTTAATACCGACATTTCTGTTTGGTCCCCCATTGCATTTTCTGTGGTTTTTATTGACCTATAAAATATTATTACTATGGAAAATGATTAAATAAACAATTGAATATTATTACGGGAAGTCGCCTGAAGAATAACAGAGTTTTCCGATTGAAAAAAATTGATTTTCTGATTTTCCCATATAAAATATATGGAAAACTTTAAACGCATTGAGCGACCTTTAAATATTTTATGAGTAAATAAAAAGTTTTTTCACTAAAGAACAATCCTAGGGGGTAAGAGCATAAAAATTCCGACTTAGCTTTTTCACGCGCATTTTGGACCACCCTAATGTACATACATATAATTAATAATGTATTTAAATTGCAAATCCAAAACTTGTCGAAAATGTCACGAGTGCACTTCACTTTTCAACAACTGAGTAAGTTTAAGCTTCTAAGATGTCCGCAAGTGTTTGGCAAACGTAAAGAGAGGCAAAAACAAATAGGTAGTCGGTTTTTAAAATATCGTGTTTTCAGCTGCTGCTGCAAATATTCGCTTTTACTATTTTGAAAGCCATCTTCGTCCAGAGTTTGTGCAAAATTTATTGCTTAAAATAAAGTGTATTTATTGCTTAAAATAAAGTGTTAAATTTATGTTTTCAATGAGCTTGACTGCAGATGGTTGTTTTTATGTGTAATACATAGGAGTAAGTATTTATTTATGTACATAGCCTGCAGTACGGGGAAGCGACTACAGGACTGAAGAATCGGTATCTGCCAAGCAAACTCCGTCAATTACCGATCGACTACTTGCCGTGTGTTTCAGCGATTATTTTCACAGGGCAATGTCCTAGGCGGTAGTCACCATCGTATCTCTCTACACTACCAGGTGTTATTAAAGTGATTTATGGACACCCCCTTTCGTAGTTTTTCGAAATTCTTCTTCCGACTGGTCCGACATTGCACTACAACACTCACCACCACGGGTTAATAGAGTTGCTACTTCCCTAGGAGTCGGTGCAATAGCAGTCCAAAAGTAGCGATCAACTCCAGCAGTACATACTGATTATACTTATCTGCATCACCAAAAAAAAGTTGCGGTTTTTCCGCCGGGAATACAAGATCTATTATACTTAAAAACTTCCACCGAAATATTTGGGATTTAAGATTTATGTGACCTGGGCCGATTTGAAAATACCTCCAAAAATGGAGTTTTTTAAGAATAAAAACAATTTCTTAAAGGATATTTTGACAAAATTCTCTTGGATGACAAAACATTTAAGCTTAAAAAAATCGTCAAAAAATATTCAACGGAATCATAGAAGTATAATTTTTGATGCTGTTTTTTAACTTTTTTCAAAGATTAATTCAGAAAAACTTGAATAACTGGGCCAAACCTATACCGATTTAGACTTGTGATGTATCATTTATATCGTATTTTCTCACAATCTTGGGGCCAGAGTTTCCGTGCATATTAATCAGAGATTTCAGTTAAGCGAATTACAACTAGCCGGTTTCAACTGTATCACCAACCCGTTTTCATATTACCCGGAATTTGTACCAAAAACTTGTCTTACCCTACCAGTGTTTTTTGTGACACTCGGGTTGCGATACGCGGACTTTTTTATTTAAAATAAATGGAAAATATTTAACAGGCTTGTAGTTGAGCTGATAACAACATATTTTCACTATTACAAGAGTATTAAAGTAAAATAAAAATTTCAACCCGCTCTAGTGTGCATACATATGTACTATATATACATACTTATAGAACGAAAAATGACACTGAAGATGGCACAACGCCGAAACCGGTTTGTCTCCAAACCAAATTTGACAAGGGATGACGGAAAATCGTTCCACATTACATCACTTATATATACCTTCATATTTCATTTTTTCATTTTTTGCAAAGTTTTAACTGGCTTTCGGCGTTTCTCCCTATTTAATTTAAAACTTTGATGCTTTAAAATTGCTTTTTAAATAATTAAGTAATGCCCATATCGCATTTTATTGGGCTACCGGCCACTACGGTTGCGAACGCTTCCTGCTTGCCATACGATGCTATGCTGATGCTATGTCCAACAGAAATTTTCTTACATATGTATGCAAGTAAGAGTATATAGTAGGGATGTTGCGAATGTGGAATTTTAGACATCCGTGGATGCGAATGCGTATGCGAATATCTGCGACTGGGTTGAAAAATGTGTGCTTATAGCGAGCTAAATAGGTGGATATGGAAAATAAATTATTATTTTCCAGAAATGAAAATTTTGAACAAAGTTCTTTTTTCAAAGTCGTTTTTTTTATAAGCATTTTAATCTTAGATAGTTACGTTATTCTTATCTTATTAAGGGTCAGACCTATAGCTTTTTAATTAGTTGAGTATCTTTTCTCTGTATATCTGGATATCCCTATTGAAGGAGCTTACTCTTTGACATTAAATAGCAAAAAAGGAGCAGTTATACTACAGAAGTTTTTAGCCAAGGATCCAATGTATATACCTATGAAAAAAATATTGCCCGACAAGTTAACCAAATTACAATTTGTAAAATTTTTGCTAGAAATAAATTCCCCAAAAAGCCCTACTTGAAATTATTGGCTAAGAATTACAGAGCACACTTTCTTCTTTTGTCCAAAAAAAATCATAATAAGGAAAGAAACCAATGCAGGTATTTAAAGCACAGAAAAAAAATCATTATTAAAGGACTATTTCCTCTTTGACGTACGTCAAAGGTCAAGTAGAAGTGGGAACTTGTACGACTGCCCATTGATAGCTCGGTTATATAGGTTGAGAAATAATATGTTGAAAGAAATTTTTATCAAAGTTGATATATATGACATTTGAACAGTTTAGTTAAACAAATACTCCCACCGCCACAGGCAAAAATATTGGCTACAATTTGTCATTTTGCTTGCCATATATACGTTTTATTAGTGCACTTGCACAACATTCGCATTCACCAAAGCTCCGCATTGATTATTGCGAATGCGGATGTTAAAATTAATGCGGAAGCTTCGCGGTTGCAAATGCGAATGCGAATATTCGCAACAACCCTGGTATGTAGGTATGCATTTGTTTGTTATGAATACTTTCTGTTGCCGGACTGTGTTAGTGTAGTGCGCGTGGGTGTCTTCAAGTGTGAAGGTTTATCAATTTGAATTAATTAAAAGCCGCATACCGAACTTTTCTTCTGCATTGAGCTTGAATTTCAATTACCCCGAAGGCAGTATATAAATAGGCGTGGCGCAATAAAAAAATAAGTTTTTTAATTTTGCGATTGCTGCGATCACCACGAAATCAAATTAATTGCCTCTACGTCCACATGCACGCCTCTAGCTGCTACCATTTGAGAGCGATACCGTGGTTGCTATTCGACTAGGGCTGGTAAACTATCGATACTATCGACACGACTATCGATGGTTGCCACCTGACGATAGTTCTATCGAAGGTCGAACAACTATCGAATAACCACGGGAATCATCATTTCATCTTTGTTCTCCCTTGTCTAGCAAATAATTGATTTTATACATATCAAAGCGCTTTTCCTATGAATCGAAAACAGTTACTCGATTAGTATCCTTAACAACGATGTATCAAATCAACTTTTTGTCTGCTTAAGGATGAATTACAACGCACAAACGGGTTACCGAACATGACGAAAATTCCCTTTAGCTCAAATCTGATGTGTGGTGTATGAGGGTGCTTGAAAGTTTGACTGTCAAGCCGTTTGAGGGAAATTTGAACTATAATTAAAATTTTTTGATTTTCTGAGCCCTATGTTGAAGTTTGATCAAACTTCTCGAGTTGTATGGCAAAATGGCTTCATTTATATCAAAATTTTTACCGAGTGAGGACATAGGAGAGAAAAATCGAAGAAAACCAGACTTGTTTGGTGTATGTGGTAATGAAAAAAGTAAGTTTGAAAATTTATTCCCAAATGTGTTGCCAAAGAAGTTTTTAAATGAATTTATTAAATTCATTCAAATTCATTGATAAACTAATTTTCAGAGCCTACTTCAAGTAGCCCTAGTTATTAGAGCAAAGCTTCAGGCCTCTTACGCTGAATAAAGTGCTGAAGGTCTATTGTGGAGCTCAACTTTTATATTAAGCCGATACTATCAAACAATTATCGATGGTTTTTTGCAATAGTATCGGAAACTATCGATAGTCCGAGCTATCGATAGCAATAGTATCGGAAACTTTCGATGTCTCGGACTATCGATAGTAAAGAGCCCTATATAACCCCTCCTTGTCTATCGCCTCCAAAAATCACACTCTATAAGTCACTCATCACTCCTGTGCTGGTTTCTGGCGCAGATCCAAGGACAATGAAAACATCTGATGAGGCGGTTCTTACGAGTTTTAGAGAAAAAGATTCTGCGAAAGATTTACGTTGCTCTGCGCGTTGGCGATGTCGAATACCGCAGACTCTGTTGGTTCCTTACAGCAAAAAATATGTTGGCTCCTTATAGCAAGAAAGCGAACGTTGACAGCTCAAGCCACATTCTAACTGTTAATCAAGAAACCGCTACCTTGGCACTTAACTAGACACAATCACCCCTATTGCGAGTGTCGATTAGCAGTAGAATAGACATTTTTCTATTGAGTCGATCATATTTTATTTTGGTATTGCGGAACTGAATCGATAAACAATTGTACAATTGTGAATGGCTTACTGAATTGCAATCAGCTGTTTCGGTGTTTGTTTACATTTTTGATATATTTGGCAAATAAAATAAAATACAATTGTCCAAAACTTTTCAATTTAACAATTTAAAAAAGAAAATACCACTAATGGATAGTGTCGACGTGTGGTTCAGTGATAGTGATGACGAGGAAAGTGAAAGATTAGTAGAGTTAGCAAGAACGAGGAGGATGTTGAGGGATTCGTCTAATCCTCTGGAATTGGAGGAAAATATGTATGTATACGGTTTCAACGGTGCGTAGTTGATACAAACGTAATCAATCTATATTTTTTTAAGATTTTTGAAAAATTTTCGTCTTCCGAAGGCTGCATTTACGCATTTGCTCACACTATTAGATAGCAAACTGCAAGCTGGCGTTAGAAAAACATCAGTTCCAAATATTTTAAAGTTGGCAGCGACTTTGAGGTTCTGTGCTCAGGGGTCGTATCAGCTAAGTGTCGGGAACGAAAGTTGTATTGGGCTTGGCCAATCTACGGTGTCCATAATTTTGGCGGAAGTATTCAATGCTTTGGAGGAATGCGTCTGCAGAGATTGGATAAAAATGCAATACAGTGAAGAGGAAAAACGAGAAGCAAAGTGTTATTTCTTTGAGAGGAGCGGAATACCCGGAGTAATAGGCTGCATAGACGGTACGCACATCAAAATTGTTTCCCCAAAAAAGGAGCATCAGCATTTGTATTACAATCGGAAGGGATTTTTCAGCTTGAATGCAATGATAGTGAGTATTTATAAAGGAAATGCAACAATGGAGTTTATAATCTTTCTTCATTTATAGGTTTGCGACAACGCCATGCGAATCCGCTATATCAACGCGAAGTACCCTGGAGCTACGCATGATGCTAATGTTTTTAATATGTCTGCGTTGAAGCAACAATTAGAAGAAGAGTATCGTAGTGGCGAGCGAAATATGTTATTAGGTATGCTATGGCTAATTTATGTAGACATTCGAATGGTTGTGTCATAGCTATTTCCAATTTTAGGTGATGGAGGGTATGCCTTACAACCCTATATGCTTACGCCATACCGAAACCCAGAGCCCGGATCAGCAGAATGTATGTTCAACGGTAAACATTCTCAAGGACGGAATATTGTGGAACGCACTATTGGGGTGCTCAAAAATCGTTTTAGGTGCTTGTTAGGCGCTCGAGCGCTTCACTATGAACCCAAAAGAGCTACACAAATAATAAACGTCTGCGCAGCGCTTCATAACATTTGTATTTTCTACAATGCTCAATTTCCCGATGAAGAAATGCTAAGCGACCGAGACTCGGACGACCGAGCTCAAGACAACACAGCTTTTGAAAATCTCTCTGTGGCCAGTGAGGAAGCGAGGGCAATTAGAAATAACATTTTACAACACATGCAATTCTAACGTTATGGCTTTTTATTAATTTATTCAGTTAAGTTCAGTTCGGTTATAAATCACATATTCAGCCTTTTTTAATTCATGTTCAGTACTTTTTAACCTTATATCTAAATTCATTAATTAATACCAAAAAAAAAAAAAAAAAAAAAATAAAAATGCATGTTATTCATAAAAATGTACATATATGCTATACATAACACAAAATATCACTTCAGGTATTTATTCATAACTAACTTAAAATATCACTTCATGTATTTATTTATAACTAACTTAAAATATTACTTCAGGTATATCCAGTCTAAAAATAAATAAATAAAAATTAAAACTATCCTTAAACTACTTCAATATGTTGGAAATTCTTTCATTTTCCAACTCCAATATCTGAGCTTTTAATCTAAGCTTATCTGCTCTATTTTTCCCCTTATTTTTAAGCTCTTCCCTATACACTTGCAACTTTTCTTTTTTCAAAGCAATTTTTTCCCTTTCTAGGGCCAGAGCCTCCTCCTTGAGCGCAACCGACTTTTCCATCCATCTTTCAATTTTCCTAATTCGTACTTTCAAGCCGAGTGTAGTCTTCTTCATCACCTTAAAATGCTGCTCTTGCATGTTTATTTGTTTTTCCAACAGCGCAATCCTTTTTGTTTGTCATTCGTACGGCGCCTTGATGTTGGAGTAGGCTGTGGTGCAGCGTGCCTTCTTGCTGTTGGAGTAGCCTGTGGTGCAGCATTTTCTTGGGTCACATTGGTTGCATACTCTTCAGGGTCTTCCTCGGCCTCACTCTCCAACTCTTCCACAACCATTGTAGGCGAACTATAGCCTTGACTTGCCCTTGATGTTGACGCCACGTTCGCGGTTCCAAATTCTTCGCCGGGTGGGTCAGTGCAGACATCCATATTAAGGAGGCTGATGATTGCCATCGCAGAAAATGTATGCAAGCTGTTTGGACCCCCACCAGTTGCACGAAGCTCTATTTTATTTTGCGAAGCTTTTTTTCTGGTTTTACTCTTAAGATCCGTCCACACCTATAATAAAATACGTGTATCTTATTTACGAAAGCTATATATGTAATTGTATTTTACCTTCAACCACTTTTCCCACGAGCGCATTGGTGGTCCCAAACTGTTCAACTCTACAGCTACCCGCTCCCACCTTGCCTTTCCTTGAACTTTTCCGCAGATACCTTTTCCTAAGTCGCTGTTTGTTTGCATCAACTCCACTAATCGCGCTAGTTGCTTTTTGTTACTAACTACTTTTGATCTGTAATTTTAATATAATTATTTTATTACTTTTATTTATGTATATTTTTATTTATTTTCTTTAAATTTGCTTACTTTTTATCCATTTTCGTTCTTTTTTCATCAACTTTACTCTCCAACGACTAGAAAATGGCTGTAGAAAGATGATCGATTAAAAAGCATTCACAGTCGCTTGCTGAGCGATCATTCGACACTCGCAATAGTTCGATAATCGATAATCGCTCAGTAGTCGATTATCTATTCTTGTTCGACACTCGCAATAGGGGTGAATTAGATAGATTGAGCTATGGTTTTTAATGTAGAAGAAAAACGGCTGTGCCAATCCAAGCCACCATCTCTTAGATAAATAAGTCTGCCTAGCGCAACGACCGCTTCAAGCAGCTATGTATCAGCTGCCGTCATTTGTAATTTTATTTTCCTCACTTGAAACGGTGCCGGTAGCACGTAGAAGGCCGTAGGCAAGATTTCAAGAGTTAAAAGTACACTCCTGCGCTGGGTTTCAACTGCCATCAGCGCACCTTTAACAGTGGCACAACTATGTACATACGTACATACATAGCAGTGAGTTAAGACGACGAAGCGTAGAGTGTGTCAAGCAGCAGTGACAAATACTGGCGCAAATAGCATTGCTGGTAAATGTGTGTGGAATGTCCTTGGAAGAAGCATAATTTTGTGGCCATAAGTCACAGCCAACATTTAAGCACTTCAAAGAAAATATGCACCTGCCTGAGTACTCTATTATCATACATTTGGCTATTCAAAATGCAAAAGTACTTGAACTTGACTTGAGTGCTTAACTGCACGCTTAGCACGCACACGAAAGCAAGAAAAAAGAAAAGGGAATTAGTTAACGAAAAACTAACGTAAAGTGCGTTGAGAAAGCAAAGAGGCTCCTGCTGTCGATGTAAACAAAAAAAAAACACACTATAAGCAAATGCGCCTTTACCTTTGTCAATAGCCACAAAGACGAACCTTCGCTCAGCTACACGCACGCACCCATACATTTACAGAGCACAAATCCAGTGCGCACAAAAAAAAAATATTTTATTCATATAAATATGTAGATACATACTTATAATATAGACCGGCAATGACAGGTGCTAAACAACAATCGACAAATACACTTCCATATACATAAATGAAAAATAAAATAATAAAAAGGAAAATGCGACAGAAGCATTAACATATTATCTTTCCACTTTCCTTTTTTTTTCACCTGCTCTCAGCGAATTTATAAAATAAGCGGCAACGAGACACAGGTAGGGCGAAAAAGGAAGCACAACAGCAAAGGAACGTGAAAAGGAGCAAGACTCCAGACTGGAAAACGGAATGCTTTAGCAGACAAGTAGCGATTTTTTTTTTCTCAAGCAAAAGGACATGCAATTACCAGCTGAACAAGGCAGTTGTGAAATGTGTATAGGTATGACATGAAATGATACAGAAATACATACATACATATATACATATATACAATTTGTATTCATTCAAGTAAAAACCAAATTAAGTAGCGACGAGGAGTAATTGCTTTACACTGAGTCCTTTTGCACCGCCCCACTCTTCCAAGCAGCAACTGCCAATAAGAGTTTCTATATTAAATTAATGTACATACATATTATCACGTGAAGTTCAAAAAGACGTAACAGACATCATCGCTGAAATGCAAAACGGCATAACTAATAAAAAATTCAAAATTCACTTCTTCATTTATATGATGGATTTCATCGAATTACAACTCCCACATATTTTTATGGAAAAACCAAAAAAATATTAATCACGCCTTTTTCAATTTCAGTTGCGATGTTTTTACATCTTTTTGCATTTCAGGTGACGATATATGAAACGTAAGTAAGTGGATGTAAAGAAAATCTTCACCATCCGCAGCCGTACTCTCAAGATGGTTATTGCTGTACAGCCTTCGGACTTTACTCCGATCGGTATAGATTTACTACGGGTTTTGGAAAATTTTAAAAGCTACTCCACTTTTCGCACTGTGACTCTGGTGCATATTACCACTCCGTACGCCATGGGTATAGAACCTAAACTGGAGGAGGAGCTCGGCCAAACACTTAGCAAAAGTGTAAGCGCCAAAATATTATATTATTATTATACTACTCTTCTCTTCCCCTTGTCTTAAAACCAGCTCCGTTCTCCCCACATGGTTTGGCCCTCCGTGGGCCATTTTATACAGTTAATCTACGATTTAGGTTTTACTCCGATGTTACTAAATGCTTTACTACTGAGTACAGTTTCGGTAGTCCGAACACTGTTGCTGTAATTCGAGCCGCCAGCAGGCTCAGGAGCGTAGTCTGAAGAGACGATCAAAGACAGCAATTGAACACGTAGGTACACACATAACAGTGAGGAGGTTTAAGGTCAAAATGAATATTGTCATGTAGTAAATCAAAAAATAATTTCGTACAAATTGAGAATTGTAGCTGGCATTTTAAGCAGAACGATTGATTTATATGGGTTAGCCTGCTGTTTTTTTTTTTTCTTATCTTTCTTTTGTACGAGGCTTTAAAGCTCGAGAACAATTACACCGATTTTAATGATTTTTTTTTTTATGGTTCGGTATAATATCAGGATCATTTCTAACAAAAAAGGTTGGAGGGTGGCCATCTGTTTGAGAGTTTTCGATTACCTAAACTGATAAAAGAAATAAAATATTACAATATGTGTATCAAGCCAAGACAGTTTAAGAAGGGTTACAGCCGAAAATAATTTTGAGGAAGGGTGCCACCTTTTTGAAAATTTGTTACTCAATTAAGCTGATAAAATAAATGAAATATTGCAATATCGATATCAAACGAAAAGTATTTGAGACATCTTTAATTGGAAATATTGTAAATAGGTTTATCACCTATCTAAAAGTAGACTGAAAATATTGAAATTAAATGAAATATTACATAGTTGATAAAAAAAAAATAATTCAATCAAATTCAACCCATTGGCTTGAATCAATGTTTGGTCAAAATAAATCAATAGATATTAAGAGAATTTATGTTGTATTGCAAATCCGAGCTGAAAGTAATAATCCCGCCATCTATTCATTAATTGATTTGAAATAAATAATCGATAAATTTAGTTATACCACGAAACTAACTACTGGAATGCGTTTGATTTTCTTTTGCATTTATTAGGAGGTAAATTGTCAGAAACACACAACAGATTTAACACATGTGGCTCCCAGAAATTTCGGACTTCAATACACTCGAAAGAATTTTGTAAGGTAAAAATTTTAAACCGTTGAAAAAACATTAATTTCAAATATCGCGAAATTTACGGGTAAAATGTCAAAAAGGATGCTTAATTTTCAAATCAATTTTAAAAATATTTGTTGATTTTAATATGTTGCCAACTCTTTAATTAGCTTTAATTTGTATGTATTTCAACGCACCTAATCCTCCCCCCTACCCCCGTGGGTGCGATAATGTGCTCTGTTTAATCATAAGAAGGATGAACCTACCATTTGCTCTCTAAATCTTTGTCGTTGTAAAGCACACCACATAAAATTCAAGTCTCATTGTTTTACTTAAGATACGCCAATTTCGACCTTTTTCGATCTTAGCTGTCTTTTCGACATTTTTTATACCCGAGCGCACTTGTGCACAAGGGTATTATAACTTTGTTCACATAACGGTTGTTTGTAACAGGCAAAACGAATCGAGATAGATATAGACAAATGTATACATAAATGATCAGAATGAAAAGAGAAATCGATTAAGCGGTGACTGTCTGTCCGTCCGTCCGTCCGTCCGTCTGTGCACACGATAACTCGAGTAAAAATTGAGATATCTTAA